CCCTACTAGGAGTCGCAACAGTCAGGAGTTGGGTGGCTTGAGGATTCGGAGGGACACACAGCTCGTCGCAGGTAAGGAGACTGATCCTGATACTGAAGAAAGAACTCCAGCGGTTCTAGAGCTCCCAGACATGCGCAGTTCAAGCTGTTGGGGTGAAGATTCCGTGGGATGCCCGTGCGCACGACCTCGCACGACCTTGCCCAGAGATCACCTGGCCCCCTCCGGGCCAGATCACCTTCCAACCAGCAGAAGTCAACACGATTGATGTTGACCAACACGATTCATGTTCTTCAAACAGGGTTGGTGAACACGATTCAGGTTGACCAAAGCCCCCCCTGTTTGAAGTGAGAAACGTCTTCATGTGGCTTCTCATGGTCCATGATGAGTCAGGGCTCCTACGATTACAAAAGCAAGAAAGGGGACCCCAACGTTTCACCGAGGAGCTTCGGCTTCGCGATCGGTGTCGTTTCGGCTTCGCCACAGACGAGGTCCAAGCACTTCTGTCCAGGCGGTGTCCTCTCCTCTCCCCATCTCTGGTTCGCTGGTGGCGGGGTTCGCCACATCGTAGCCATGTGGCCCTGAAATATGTGATGTTCCTCCCTGCAAAGAAGAAAAAACGGAAAACCCCATCACTGCACCAGCCGAAGGCTGAGAATACATGGTTCAGGTATCCCAACCAAGTGATCATCGTTCCACCCTCCTTCACGTGGACCCCAACAATCCACACATTTTATGGTTCCAGCGGCCCCGTGGCAACGTCCAACTCTTTGATGGGGTGCTCTTTGATCTCGTTGTCTCCCGTGATAAAGACCTCGGAGCCAATGCGAAGAGGCCAAAGCGTGTCGAGGAAAGCAAAAATGACTCAGCCTGTGTGTCGCATGGATGTGTTTCTTGGCATCCTCTAAGATGGTTTACAAAGTGTTCTTGCGAAACATCCGGTCAGAACAACCTTGGAGGCTTAGCATGGACAAAACGTTCTGACTGGTCAAGAAAAGGCTCAGGTCAGGAGGGATGTTTCAATCTTCGCATGGGGTCACTTTGTCTCTGGGTGGCCTCGAGCTCTGCAAGGGCACGTTGCAGGATCAAGGGGCCACACTGCTTTGACCAGTGCCCGTGTCTAGCCAGGGCCAATGACAAGAAAGGACCTGGAAAGGGGTTATGAATTTCCCTCCAGGCCTGTACAAGCAGGAAAAAGCAGCTCAACAAAGAGCCCCATGCCAATCATGCCACCCTTGGGCTCGCAGCTCCCCAAAATCACTGCATCACGCAACCCAACAAGTTCCAAGCTGAATCTCTTTCTTCCTTCTCCAAGCTCCACGCGTCCGCCATCCATGCGTTCTCCCCGTTCCAACCACCCCCAACGCCCCTTCGCCCCACCGCGCGTTTAATCCGCAGCGGAGCGACGTAGAGCTTCTCGCTGAGCCAGGCGCCGGACCTCGCGGACGCGTCCGGTCGGACTGGGTCCGGTCGTCGGGTCCGGTTCTACGCGGGTCGAACGGATGGATGTGGGCGATGTCTGGTGGGTGGTCTTGACGGTTGTTGATCTGGTCTGGATGTGGGCGATATCGGAACCCAAGAAATCTCGACAGCGAGTGTTTGAGCCCTGGTTCTTGTCATCTGCTGGGTCTTGCTGTCTTGCTGTCTGGGACGATTTGGGGCCGATGCCAGAGGCGGTTGGGAAAAACGCCATCGGCCGAGGGTGCCCTAAGTCAGGCCACAAGTGCCACAGAGGCAAAGGGACACTCTCCAGCACTCCCTGCAATGAATCTACTATTTGAGGAGGTAAAGGTGCTCACGCACTCCCCTTCCAGCATTCAAGGAAGCAAGGAAGGCGTGGAAGTTGAAAACCTACCGCATTGATCTACTTAGGAGGCAGGTCTTTTGGTACAGCAACTGTCCCCTCCATCTGGTCAGCACGACCTTCGTACCAAATCCAAATCATTCCTTTCATCCACACCCAGCTGCTGGGGCTTCATCTCCGCCGGAGCTTCCTCGATGGCCAACTTGAACTTCTCCGGGTCCACGTTCACCGTCGCCGGCTTCGTCTCCTGCGCGGTCCAGGGTCGAACCGGTGGTCGATTCAGACCACCCAAGACGCTCCGTGACAACAGCCCGACCTCCCGCTCCAGGGATTGGTTAGAAACCCCAGGCCCCCTTCATATGAGGGTCCGACCTTTTCCTATGAGGGTCCAGGGTAGCGTCTGGGCAGCTCTGTAAGGCCAACCAATCTGCCAAAGGCAGCTGGAAGACGGGCTTGGAAGCCATTGCTAACAACAGCCCATCCAGCTCTGTGCTTCAAATCTCCAGCCAGTTTGCAGCGGAAGCATTTCGGCACCAAACCTGGCAGTGGTGCAAAACACCTCCCCCCGGCCACTCCAACCCACCAAAGACTTGAAAAACGCGCCACGTCCACGCGTGGTCCTTCGGGGCCTCTGCCTTCGACTGCTCGGCCGCGGCGGAGGCTCCACAACCCATGACCTGAGTGGCGGTGGGTCTAGTTGTCCCCGGCTCGAGCTCCGCCACTCACCGCAGCACGGGGGCATGAGCGTTTTCTTGAAAGAAACTGGGGTGCCGGACGCTTGGTGTCTGATTCCAGAAAACAAGATGGAGAGGACTTGGTGTTGGGCTGGCTCGAGCCAAAAGCCTGCTCATGGCCCCCTAAACCTCCGATCATCTGTTAAGTGCCTTGGCAGGTCATGAGCACTCGGGGAAGCAGGTCCGATCGTCTAGGTCTCTAGCACTGCGTCCGGAACGACATGTAGGGGCCACAGTAAAAGACCCCGGCAGTTGAGATTTGTGACCACCAAAGTCCCTCCAACTCTCCAACCCTCCGCCTCTCTTTAAGAGTTCCAAGTTCCACCAACACCACCGCCGAAACGACCCATGGTGCAACGGAGCGTTTCGGAAAAAAGGCGCGTGGAAACGACCGGCTTCTGGAGGATCGAAACGAAGGACATTTTGAGACCTACAAATTATTACAAATTTGGAGAAAAAAACTATGGAAAACTTGTTGTACTGCTCCTGCCCTTCACCTCTTAAGAACGAAAACGGCTGCTGATGGAAGTCATCTGCGCCACCTGGACCCACCAAAACTGTAAATAAAGCCGTTGTCTCTATCTCCGTTTGCTCAGGTGGTGCTGGAGGTCTTCTTTCAACTGCAGCACCGACAACATCAATCAATAATGATTCTCATGCAATTACTTCAGCTTGCCCGGGCTCACGCCAAGAGATCTTTTCGCTGTTGCTGCCGCCTGCTGCTCCATAAGAAGGGCACGGAATGAATTGAGCCTTTTTGACAGAATCTGGATCAATCACCCTGAGAATCCGATCTGGTATAGTGAGTGGATTATGACTTCCGGGAGTCAAATGAGAAAGGGGAAGTTCTGCGAAAAAAGGATCGCACACCACGGGATGTTGCGAGCACCGCCGAACCGTCGGGAGGACCGAAGGGGCTCCTTCGAAGAAATGTCTCGCTTCGAACTCCAAAAGCGGACCTTGAGTGGATTGGTCGACCTCGAGTCGGGGAAAGGGTGGAACGGGTGGAATGATGTGGAAAGACTCTATGAGAGCTGATGCCAAGCTCTGCAATGCCACCACAAAGCCGCCATCGATGTTCCAAAGTCAGCGGGTCCACGCACGGCACTGTTCGAGTTACCGGGAGACTGAAGTGCCATCCAGTCAACTGGCCTACCTGGCAACTTGGAAGGGCCTCTTCTGAGGCACAGGCAATGGTATACTATAGAAGAGGCCCTTCCGTTGCCAAGGGTGGTCATAATCTCTCTCTCTCTCTCTCCCTCTCCATCACCATCTCGGGTGAGACTGACCGCGCATCACTAGTCACTAGCAAATAAGTGGCTCCATTGGTCTCATCAAGTTCTTCTGATAAAGGTGAGTTTTTCCGCATGTTCGTCTGCATCCACCAGTGCTTACAGCATTGTGCCCTTCCTTTGAAGCAGCAAAAGACAAGCTGAGCCACACATCATCGGTGTAGCTGAAAGTGCCAACTGCCAACCCTGCAGAGTTCGGAATCGAATCCGTTTGATTTGGGCCTTCCTCTGGTCTCCCTTTTCGAACGGAGGCCGTTACAGGCTCACCCCCCGTAGTGAAAGAACGGAAACGTCCATGAGAAGGTGAATCCAGTAGTGGTATGAGAAAAAGAATCACAACCACCCCAGGTGACCCTGGGTGTACATGCACCCTCTCCCCAAAGAAGCCAACAGAATCATCTTCACCTCTCCATGGGGATGCCTCATGGGGCCGATGGGGGTTACCCCCCTGCACTTCTGGACGGACTTTTGGGACTCAACGGTGGCAGTAGCTGCCGTGTTGCGCGAGTGCAGTCGCGCGGCGGAAGGAGTTCAGTCGCGCGGATGGGTGACCAAAGTCCGAGACCGTTTCAAAGCGGCAACGAAGCGACGCTTCGGAAGCTACGAACGGAGCAAGGACGCTACGAACGGAGCGATCGGACGCTACTGGGCTTACTACTAAAGTATAACAAGAAAGCTACTATATAGTAACAAGCTAGGCAACAAAGGACAAATGTCCCGCATCCTATTCCCTCGCTGCTCCATGCCTACTTTTAGGTCGCCTTTCCCTCTGGATCATACATATCAAATTCCAGACTGCTGATCTGCAGGACATGGCGCCAGCTGAAGCTGAAGCAGGGGCAACCCGCTGATGCAGACTGGATGAGCCCCTGTAAGCCTCGAAACCTCAAAACAGGTCTGGTGGGCGTTGCACCCGACCTGCACCGCAACAGGGTTGGTTCAAAGATTGTGCCACAAGCTCAGTGGTGGGAATAGACTAGTGGTTCGATGAGACCAGCCTTATCCTTCCCACATGAGGGGATTGTTCACCCCAGGATTCTGTCCTCGACTGGAGAAGAAAGAACCGTCCCTGCGAATCAGGGCGAAATGGGCTGGAGTCCGGTGATCTCCCAAGCGAAATCACTCCTGTCGCTTTCGTTCACCAGAGTCCAGCCCAAACGCCCCGGCTGATCTTCAGACTTTATTCCACGTGCCTCTCTCTACACTTGTTTGGCTCACGTTCCTTGATCGTTTTCGATCGCAGCGGTTGCGAGTGTATACTTTGGGTGTTTCGTGGCTTTCATCCTAGAATGATATGCTCAGCAAAAGCGCCCTTTTCTCAGAACAATTCTTCAGTTTTTGTTCCTAGGGATGATTCTTCATTGCAAACAGTGTCAAACATATATTTCCGTGCCATTCCTTGCCACATGTGTGCCGAGAGAGGACACGCCTTCGAGAAACAAATCTATCGGACAAGAGATGCTCAAAAGGCCTCTGGCGCTATCACCGCCTGATGCGCAGCGACGGAAGAAGCACCGTGTGTTGGTTCGCCTGTGGAAGAAGCACCGTGCCGCACGACTACCCTGGCAAATTCCGAGGGTACCTCCTGCCCACTGATGTAGGTTGATGTTCTCCTTCACGGTGACTCATTCACACAGAATGGATGATTGACTTCTTTAACCAGGCCGGCGGCGCGTGGTCTTTAACTAGCAGTGTCTGGTCACCTTGTGCTTCAACTCAGTCCAGTTGAACGAACCCCAGCACCCAAAAATCCCAAACAAACTCTGGGATTCTGCAGGGCCCTTCTCTTTCGTGACGCCGCGCAGATTCACACCAAGCCCCCTGGCACACCGTGCGAATCTCCCGCGGTGTCGGGCCCCCACCTGCCGTGATTCCGCAGAAAGCCGTGGCTGCTTCCGCCTCGGCAGCTCGCAGGCAAGGTGTGGCTCAGCCGGAGCAACGAACACCGAAAGCACCCGCTCTTTGGCAAGAGGATCAAGAAGACTCTTGAGGAATAAAATATAACAAGATGGAACCCACGAACCCGAATGCAAACACGTTCGACAAACTAATATGTCCAAATGACACTCTTGTAGGACACTCTTGCGGGACACTCTGTAGGACACTCTTGTAGCACACTCTTGTGGGTCACTCTTGTAGGAAACTCTTGTGGGACACTCTTGTAGGACACTCTTGTGGG